TGTGCCCCCCGACAGCAGCCAGGCTGCCCCTTTTTCCCTGAGCAAGATTCGTACCCGGCCCATCTCGCGCAGCTTTGTCAACATCACCACGATGGTGGAGTTGTGCTCCCACAGCATCCGCCAGAAATCCTCTGTGGTCTCGGCCAGCGGTCCCTGCGTGGCGATGTAGGCCTTCTGCTGCCTGCACAGACAGAACGGTGCTCAGAGCGGCTCCCAGGAGGTGGGCAGCAGCTGCTTCTGGGGGGTGGGGGGGCTGGAGGCAGGGACCCTGTGCAGCAGGGCTGACAATGCAGCTGCAGGAGACAGGACTCTAGGACTTGCCATGGATCTGGGGGGAGGGATGAGCCCACCCCGCGTGTCTTCTAACTGCTCCCCACAGACGCAGCGAGCACCACCGGCTGCAGGACCCGGAAGGGCTGCTAGTCCTTGTGGGGGTGGCAGTGTCCCCAGCGCTGCTGCACTGAGGGCCTTCTCGGCACCCAGCCCCCCGTGAGCAGGCTGCCAGCACCCACCGGGGCTGGGAGGAGCGGCTGTGCTCGGGGACAATCCCAGCAGCACTCCCTGATTCCCACACTTTTACTCTCCGCAGCACCCCCATCCCTCCCCTTGCATGGGAAGACACGGAGCAACGGAATCAGGTCACCTGGATCACGCACACCAGCTAATAACTGGGGCAGTGTGGAAACCACCTCTATTATTTTGCCAACTTTTCTGAAGCTTCCAAATTTGTCCTCATTTCCACTGCAAACCAGAGCATCTCCCGCAACGTGCCGTGTGAAAGCAGAGCATGACCTGCCCCAGCCTGGCACCCACCCTGAAGAAAGCACCCTTGGCGTTCCGGACTCTGAGAAGGGCCAGCTCCAGCGCGCGGGTGCTTTGGCTTGCTGAGCGTTTTGGCACAGGTCTGGCACCGCACGGGTGGCACAGCCAGGGTCTCGCTTCACCACTGCGAGGCGCTGGAGCCCGCAGGATGAGGGGCAGCATCTGCCTGTCCCGCATTTCATCTCTCCGTGGGTGCTAAAAATTAACGAACGTGCTGCAGGACAGCCGTAATGTGCAGGATGAAGACAGGGACTGCTTCAAGGTGGATTTATAAGACATCGTAAAAAGCAAGGAGTGGGGGTGCAGAGTGAAACAAGAGCTAATAAAGATGCAGCATCGGTGATGTCTGCAGGACCTTGGGCCAACTGATCTCTCCAGATGACACTGAGAAGATCGCTCGGTTCAAAGGAAAGGACAGGAAGAGATAAGGGCACTCGTTGGGGACGGGGTAGGCAGCCCACCAAACAGTACCGCCTGCCACGCAGGCAGCCCTCCCTCTGTAGCATCCCCGAGGGGTGACACCAGCACGGTTCCTGATCAGCCCTGGAGCCAGGGCACTGCGGCTGCAGCCCGCTGGTCACACACCGGGATGCTGGGGGGGCACACGCAGGCCACGTTAATGATGCGGTGCTGGACGGCACGGACCCACGCAGGCAGGGAGTGGAGGCTGCTCCCTGAACGCTCTTCTCCAGCCTCTGCATCCTTTCCCATTACTCTGTCCCACCCTGAGGGAGCCTGGCTCACTGTAGTTTTGCTGGGTTGGGATGCTCCCAGGGTTCTCCCCTTCCGCTCCTGGCCCACCACATAGCCCTTCTCCCTGGGAATCCTTCCTGGGCACAGCTGATGGAGCAGGGACGGAGGCACAGAGCCACTGGCCTGGCTGCACCAACATCTGTCCCCTGTGGCAGTGCCTGTTGCTCCTGGGAGGTCACCAGCCTAGAAGCAGCATTTGGGCAGAGTCAAGCTGGAGGGGGACTGTGCCACATCCATCACTGTATCCCCCATTCTTGCACCGGGTGACCCTACTGCAAGGTGCACAGAGAGATGACAGGAATGAGCCATATATGTGCATTATTGGGATTTGGTCTGCATTACTGTCTGGAAAATGGCTGTGAAGGAGATGTGGCCACTGGGCTGTTCTCCCTCCTGGCACTTCGCATCTGAGAACACAATGCCAGCAGTTACATACAGGAACAGTAAGTATTATTGCCCCACTAGATCTTAAGTCGTACTTTCTAAAAGGTATCCTGGGGAGCAGATCCCAGTGACGGGCCCCCCCAGTGCCCAGCACCAGCCCTGCCTGAGGATCCACACACTCTCCCCACAATCACGACCTGGGACACCGAGCCTTGGGCTGCTGCCTGGATCAGCCACGCAGAGCGAGCACACTTCTACCTCCGGTTGCTCCAGCTAGTGAGGGGGGCAGGTTTGTGTGAGGTGCTGCAGATACAGAACACACGCCGAGGGGTGCCTCCCAGAAGGTCCTGTAAACCTCCAGAGAAGCCAGGGCAGCCTCCCACCCCAGCCGGACAACCTGTCTACAGCAGCGCAAGCCAGCGGGCACTCAGCAGCAGTCCTCCGTGCTGCAACTACTGCACTGCAGCATCTGAGGACATGGAAGTAGATGAAATGCAACACAGCGATCCCCAGCCCACCTCTAGCAGGCAGGACCAGTCCTTGGGAAAGAGGAGAAGGCAGCTCTGCCCAGGTTCCCAAGCAAGCAGGACAGGCTGGCCCAGGCACCCGAGGCAGGCCTTACCTGTACCCATCTATGAAGCTGGCATTGATGTAATCGGAGCCCTCGACACCCCGGATAGGCTGCAGACAGACTCTCGTCAGCTCGTACGGCATGATGTTCACCAGGCGGTTCTTGAATTTGTTGCACGGGAGGTTGGCACTGATGAAACGTGAGGTATGTGCTTTAGAGTTGGCCAGCAGCTGAAAGAGGAAGGAGGAGACGTGTCAGACTCCTGCCGGGGATGCAGCTGTCTGGGGTCAAAACAGGGACCCCGGCAGCAGGGCAGGCAGGAGTCCCTCCGAGCACGCAGCCGAGCTCCGTCCTCTGACTGAGGGACAGCCTCCGGGGACCAGGTCTTTCTGGACCAGACGAAGGGCTCTGCCACCACGTCACAAGGACGCTGCACCAGCTGCTCTGCTCCACAGTAATCAGTGTGGTTGTCAGTCAGCTCCTCTGCCTTGACGCTGCACACCTAGAGACGGCACGGCCTCGCTGCTGCCTTCCGGTGCGTGGCTGTGGGTGACAGCCGGGGAACCACCTGCCCTGACCCTCCGGCACAGCCCCAAAGCCACACGGAGCGCAGCCCCTCAGCAGCTCTCTGACCCACCGAGGGCCGGGACGGGAAGCCTTGTACCTCCCTGAACACACGCCGGGTGGCATCAGGGAAGGAAAGCTTTCCCTTTCCCAACAATGTCTCGCTATTTACTTCTCACCCCAGAAGAACCCAAGAAAAATGTGAGAATTGTGACAGTTTTAGGTAAAGAAGATCTATTTTGGGTTACTGTGAGACATTTTATGGTTCTTTCTGAGCCCTGTAAACTGGAGTCACGGTGAATGTGTTAGATCTGCTGGCAGACACATTCAAACAGAAGTCCCTTTTTTTTTTTTTTTTAATTTCTTTTTTTTTTTCCTCTCTCCAGCATCTCCAGAGCCACCCTTCCCTCTGCATGTGGCAGCTGGTCCTTGGCACAGGCTCTCTGCAGAAGGACAGGGTTGCTCTTTGAGGTGATGCAGCCACGGGACACCCTCCCATATCCTGCTCCCCAGGGTTTACCACACAGTGGATACTGCCAGGGCACTGAAAGGGGCAAATTTTATTACTGTTCTAGAGAGAGCCTTGGAGAAACAGCAAATTTTTGTCTTTCTTAAACAGAGTTGCTAGAGTTGAGCCTAATTCTGTGGCTGTCCTGAGAGTTTTTTCCCAGGGCAGGTGTCACCACGAGATCCTAATGCAGCATGTTCTACTGTCCCAAGCCCAGGATGCCAGCAGCCCTGGTAACCACAGGACAGAGCTGCTCAGCTGTTCCCAGTTCACACAGAAAGTCAGCATTTTGCCTCTCCTGCTCCTCTGTCACTCGAAGGGAATCCCCAGGGTGAAGCCGTATTGCCGCAGTTCATTTCACAGCCTGCATGGTCTGCTGCCTCCCTGCGTGAGCTGTATTCCCCTGCATGACTCCACTGGACTAACGCACCTCATCTGAGAATATGGGTGCTTACCACAGCTCACTTCCAGCTCCAAGGCTGTAATAAATATCTGCAGTTGGCATTCACCGATACAGACAGCAAAATGTGGGGTTGCCTTCTTAAAAACAGCGTGCCTTAAAACACTGCCTTCACCAATTCGAGACACTGAGGCTTGGTGTCGAGGTAGTTAAAAGATAACAGGGCCCAGCACTGAAGAAATGAGACTATAAACGTCTCACGTATTTAAATTGGAGCCGTTTCCAGACAAGTTGTTCACAGTAACATCAATTACCACTAACACGATCTGCATATGATTTCAGATGCAGCTCCTGCCGCACAGTGAACCTGGAGCAGAACGTGCTGCCGAGAACTGCGCATCCATCTGCCTTTTATACCCTCCCCAGGAGCTGCCAATCCAGGGGGGACCGCGGCCGACACGAGCTTTACAATTCAAATGTATTTTAAACCACCGCCTACCTGGTTTAGAAGCACACAGGAGAGTAACTAATGATCCACGGCTCTCCCCTCCCAACCCCCGGGGCAGGCGGCCTGGTGGGGCCGCGTGGGCAGGGACAGGGCGGCAGGGAAGGGGGGTGCTGGGGCTCTGCCACCAACCTTGAATTCCAGCTCCATTGCAGTAACGCTCTCGCCTGGCGGCACCTGGGTCAGCTTCTGGATGTGAGCGAAGAGGTTGCGTGCAGGCACCTCGGTGTTGCCGCAGGTGGCCGCCTCCAGCAAGGCCTCGTGGATGAAGATGTACTGGTCCTCTGTCTGCACCATGTAGTTGCGCTGCGAGCGCATGCACGTCACGTGGCCGTAGATGTCCACCGTCTTCTCGTGCTTCATCCGCTCCAGCATGGCGTCAATGACGATGAAGCAGCCAGTTCGGCCCACGCCAGCGCTGCGGGAACAAAGCACGAGGCCCGAGGTGACACCGACTCCTGTGGATGCCCCGCAAGCTCTGCCCTGGCTCCGAGAGCACCTGGACCTAGAGCACACAGGAGGGGAGCAAAGGCTGCTCCCCACGATGAGGGCTAACGAGCTGGCCCCAAACAAGAGGTGACAGAAGGAACGACGGAGGGAGGCACTGGAGAAAGTGGGAGGCTGCTCAGCCCCACTGCTGTCCCCCTTTCACCGAGGGAGTGGAAAGGACGTGGCGTCACAGTGCTGGTCCCTGCGGTGGCTGGCAGCACCTCTGCAAGGGTAACAGGCAGGAGAGTGACGGCCTCCGTGTGCATGAAGTCAGAGGACCTGAAGGCTGGGCCCTGACACCAGCAAAGCCCATAATTTCAAGCCTGTTTGACCTCTAGCCTGGGTCACTGTTTCGGAACCCAGAAATGAGGCCAGTCAGCCCAAGAAGGGAAGGCAGAAAGGTGAGGACACACATGTCTATGCTGAGCCCTTTGCTCAAGCACCACATGCCTCGTCATGTGTGTTGGAAGGGCAGTAGCGATCCCCAAACTGCTCACCCCGAGAGCGCCCTGAAAACAACAGACGTGCTGTCGTGACATGTGAACACAGGCAGAGATAGGGAGCGAGACATTTCCTCATTTATGGTGCGAGTCAGATCCTTAACAGGGCTTTAATACAGCTTGTTTGTGTGTTAATTATACCCCACTCCCATCTGAAACAGAGCATGAAAGAAGAGCATTAAACACGGCTGGCAAGGCGTATGCTGAACAGCAATGATGGAGTGGTTTGTTCAGTAACAGTCCCCGCTCGGCTGGTACAGATAAATCTTGCCTGGATAAGGCGCCGAGCCTTAGCAGACTAATATTTTGCTTAAGGAGCTGCCTTTCCACCCTGCAAAAAGAGTTCTACTGCAAATACTACGTATTTACACGGTCTCTGCATGCGTGCCTGTCAATGAGGGGCCTGTGAAAGGTGCCACTTACTTAGGCTGGGCCCAGATTAGGTGGCACTCACAGTTTTGCAGAACTTTCCTGAGGCCCTCCGTACAGCAGCACTGTTTGATCTGACAGAGCAGCAGCAACACCAATGTCAGCACTGCGTTACCCGGTTCCCAGCCCAAGCAGGCAGTGCAGGTGATGCGACTGTGAAGCCTTCCCCGCCGAAGCAGGAGACTCCACTTTCACCGGGCAGGTTAAGGCTCCCACGGCCAGAAGGCGCGTGCCCCGGCGCAGCTTGGCAAACACGCAGTCCTACCTGCAATGGACAACCATGGGCCCAGCGTCTGGTGGGTTACAGGCCTTGACCCGTCGCAGGAAAGCCAGGATCGGGGTGGGGTATTCTGGCACCCCGTGATCGGGCCAAGCCATGAACTGGAACTGTCGCAGCTCTCGCTTCTCACTGGAACCATTCTGTGGAAGACAAAGAGGAGTTGTTTGGCATGAGAACAGTCTCATCCTAGGACGGGAACACACTGATGGAATACCAAGGTACCCAGCTGGCTGGGCAGCCACGGGCACTCAGTGCTGAGTGCAATGATGCACGCATTGGGCTTTTGCCACTGAAAATTTGGAGGCAAAGTGCAGGCTTCTTGCAAGGCTTCTGTACACGTAGATGCTCTGTGGAAAGCTGACAGATACAGAAAGCAAAGCAGCTCTGCAGGAGAAGAGGCTGACAGACTCCTTTCTGCACAGCAAGGGGTCACTACCCATGTACTCACTGCACATTCAGGGAAAAACTGGGCATGGAAGGACTGCAGCAGCCAGTTCCCTCCCCGCTCCTCTGCACCATGGGCCTCTCTGGGATGGCTGAGCAGCGTCCCCACACTGCCCTGCTCCTGCCTCAGCTGGGTGATCTACGCAGCAATGTGGCAGGACTGGCTGGGTGATGGCTGGGGGAGAGATGCCTTCCTGGGGTGGGAGCGTGTCCCGGTGCCACACCGCGGTGCTCTGGCGTAGCCCAGGCTCAGTCACGCGTGGAGGCAGCTGGCTGCAAAGCCTGTTTGCACTGCCGTGACACACGCTGCTAGCATCGCCTCCGGAGATTTCCAAACACTAATGAGGAATGCAGCAGGCAGGAGAGAAGGGCTTGCACACACGTCAGCACAGCCCTCCATTTGCATTATTAGTGACAGGAGTGCTAAAAATTCACTGCTTCCCATGTTGTCCCTCTAATGGGAGGACAGCTGGTACATGTACACTCGCCAGAGGCAAGCACGGGCCCTGCTCTGGGGCCCATCGCAGCGTCTGAACGCGTACAGGAGAGCATCAGGTGTCCTGGATGAAATCCAGCGGTGGCCAGATGCACAGCCTGCAGCCGGTCTCCCACTGCAGCCCAGCTGCGAGACGCAGCCCACATGTGGACTAGCCACATGCTTGGCCAAGCCAGGCGGAGCCGGTGGCCTCTGCCCGCGGGTCGTGCAGCATCGGGCAGCAGCTCTGCGTGACGTGGCACAGGAGCCACCCAGCCAGCGCCATACCTTGTACAGTGCAAAGGTGCGGACAGTGTAGGTTGCCAGCTCAACTGTGTCCAGCAGCGTCACCTGGATCATCCCATAGGTTTCTGTGCCCCGGCTTGGCCAGTACTGGTCACACTTCACCTGTGGAGAGGAGAGCAGAAAGGGTCAGTGCCTGGCTGGGGCATTTGCGGTGAGGAACAGGGCTTTGCCCTTCATAGACTAAAGACAGAAAAGAGTCACTGTGCCAGGGGGGCCCCAAACACCGAGATTTCTTTCTCTTGGGGTGTCCCAATGCCCAGCAGAAAGGCAGCACACCCCAGGCTCCTTTCCACAAGATTCATAATCAAAGAGGGATTTTTTTTTTCCTGGAGCCACTGGTGGGAAGCGGCGAAGGGGGCCAGGCTGCCAGACACAGCAGCAAGAGCAGCACCCGGTAGGAAGGCAGTATGCAGCCTGGAGAAGAGGAGGCTTGGGGAAGAACT